TCAGATAATCTGTTTTCATATAAGTCTGAAACGTGTTAGCACAAATGATATTTTTGACACATACGACCACGGAAAATAAAATAGCAGTCATGAGACTGGATACCAAACTCAAATTCAATCATTGATAATACAAATTCACACGCTAGCGTAGAGCTAAGTCAGCCTAAGTCTTAGGCTAAGATACTGTTGTTCATTGACATCATCTGTACATATTAGGTGTAAAAGGGTCAATTGATAAATCAAGCTTACCTTCTGTTCTACACAATTCACAACTAATGATGGATATTTTCTGCTCAGCCATCGGAAGAAGGCTGGAACTCCCATTCTTATATTAACTGGCACAAAGCACGCTCTCTTTTAAACCGGAAGTCATGAAAGCACATTTCGTGTTTCCAAATACAAAAGAAATTAAAGACAGCATCAAAGAAAGCTTAACAGTATTTTTCGTTTGCTTCTTTGGGGCATAGAATGATCTGATATTGCTGTAGTATCAAAATGACAATATTAAAAAGTTAGAATTGACCATGTGAAATGTTTTGTAATATTAATCTAAAACAAAGTTATGTGGCTCGTCTTGTGTAAAGGTAGACACCACAACAACTTGACTTTCAAAACTCGGTAAATGTATCGGTACGGTACAGTCTTCGGTTTTATATGCTAGGCAAGTACTGAGAAAAATTGTTGAGAGTTTTGTATGTAGAGCTGCCATTATACAAAGTCATCTGTTTGTTAAACAACAATAGCTAGACTTAGAATTAGCTAGTATACCCACACTTTTTAAAATGAAAAGCATCAGTAGCTAGTCCCATTTTTAACCCACTGCTCAGAAGTATGGGAAAAGGGACAGGGAGTCTTATAGGAGTCTAATTGTGCTCTGCACAATATTGATCAATACATTTGTTTGCCTTTTTTTTTTTTTTTTTTTTTTTGGACATTATAAAATTATTGAGTCTGGTCTCTCGCAGTCCTTGTAAAATTGACAAATATTTCCTGAATTTACCTGAAAGAGTTTTACTCTCATGTCTGCTTTTTCATGGATTTTTTCTTTTAATATTTCAGGTAAGCGGTATAATCTGCCCAACAGTTTGTGTACATATTTTACTCCAAAAGCATTTCTTTCAACTTCCAAGCACATGATGAATGGGGTAAAGATGCAAGCAATGCCTGGAAGAGTGATGATGGATGAGAAGGTACACCAACTGGGTGTTCATATTGGAGAAAGTAACACCTACATGCTTACGACATTTGAAGAGGCTGTTCAAATAGTGTAGTTAGACTAGGGTAACAATCAAAGCATGTTTTGAAAAAAAGTCTTGAACATGACTCAGTGAATGTATACCATGGTTGTACTAGCAATGTCTAGCATTCTGCATTATCATTTCAATTTGTGCCTAGTCAGTCTGTGTCAGTATGAGTTCTTCAATATCTGTATTGTCTGCTTTAATCAACTCTTGCAAATTAAAGGTACATTAATGTACTCAGTTATATGTTATTTTACCATTTATACTAGTAGATTAATAACACCTTTTGTCTTACTTATGGTGCTTAATACCAGTATACATGAACATTTAATTATGTACTTAATTGTAAATCTAGGTTGAACTCCAAATCAAAGGCCTGACGTCTAGTGCTACTGTTACAGTGAAGTCATTCCTGGAGGAGAGGGGGATGAAGTTTGGAGCTTATGCACATTTTATTGCCAACAGTAATGGAGAAGTGAACACAGCCACATCACCATCTCTTGGTGGATCGTACACAGGTATTGACATTTTGAAGACAGGAAGATTTACTGCCTTCAGTAAGCATTGTCTATAATTACTCCAACATCAAGGTATTTGAGCTGAAAAATTAAATTAATTATTGTCTCGGTTTGCTTTTTTGCAAGGGACTGATGTAATGGGATTATATTGGAGTATGGTACCAGTGCCTGGTCAACGAGATGGACTGAGACTGATGAAGAAGGATGTTACAACACCCTACAATGTACATATATCATTGCTCAGTGGACACATTGACCCATACTCTCCCAACAACAATGTTCAGGTCCCAGTAGCTGAGGCTAATATTGAAAGACTTTATATGGCTGATAATGTGGAAAGAATACCAGTTAGAGAAGGAGCTTTACGTGGAGCACTTTTTGTACCAAAAGGTAAAGTGGGTATGTTTCTGAAAAAAAATAATGCAGAAAAGTTTGTTGAAATTTTTGTGCAATTTTTTGTTTTTATTATCATTGTTATATCTTTTTTTATTGAACTTTAACAGGCCAGGGGTCTTATCCAGGTGTGATTGACCTCTTTGGAGCTGCAGGTGGCTTGATAGAACACAGAGCCTCACTGCTGGCATCAAGGGGATTTGTTGTGTTAGCATTGGCATACTTTGGTTATGAAGACTTACCAAAGAAATTTATGGATGTGAACTTGACATATTTTGGGGTATGTTGATTCCTGCCATGTTCACATTTAATGTGTGATTTATAGTTTTTCAAAATGCACATTTAGCCTCAGGATGCCATTTGTCAGAAATGATCAGGATCAGCATTAATTTTAAGTGGTGACAACCTGCTCCTGCTACTAGTTCAGCAAGCCAGTCTTTGAAGAGTAAGGATTCCTGACTTTGGCTAGTACATGTATGCCTAAGTTCGGCAGAAAATAAATAATTTATCTTTGACCAAATAAAATAAAACATTATTGCTTATATGAAATATTTGTGATCTATTGAATCTAGTTAGTGGCTATCATGTTTATATTGTAAGAACAGACAAAGAAGTAAATGGGACATATACTTCCTTGGGACAGAACATCTAAAAAGTAGCATGGTATGTGTTATGTTAAAGGATCCTTATAGAAGAAATTCAAGTGTATTCATAATCCAGTATGATAAATTTATTTAAAATATGTGGGTTTGTTTTGTTATTCTTCTGGCCAGATTGTAACTAATCAGCTAGATATGTATTTATCAGAGTTGCTTTTTATAAAGAACTTTAAACAGTATTGTTTTGTCCATAGGAAGCTGCAGAATGGCTGAGTCACCATCCAAGTGTGACTCCGGGTGGTATTGGAGTGATTGGAACATCTAAAGGTGCACAAATTGCTCTGATCTCAGCAATTCATTTTCCCCAGGTTAGGTTGCTTTTAATAGCTTTAGTGAAATTGAATGATGTGGGAAATTTATGAAATAATCTTTTTGATAAAGTAGACAAGAGTGATGATTTCATTTTTAAAGATTATTGTCAAGTCAGAGGAAATGTTCAAAAACAGAAGTCTTTTAACCCAAATATTATTTTAAACCACTGGGGGGAGGGGGGGGGGCATCATGAAGGTTTATAGATAGAGAGTTAATTATCTGTTTCATTACATTTTTCCCAATAACTAAAAAAGTTAAGGCTGTGGTCACTGTCAGCGGGCTAGCATTTGTGGACTTTATGGAAATGAAGATTGGGGATAAAATATTGCCAGCAGCTAAGTGAGTACTAGTACTTTAGATGTCAAACCTTGGAAATTATTCCATAGGACGAAAAATGTTGTTGATATCTTGTATTTCCATAAAAGGATAAATTGGAAAAAAATTAATTGAAATGTGTTTTCATGGAAAATGTTCTGAATTTTTTGCACTAGACATTCCATGAAAATATGTAAGCCTTTTATATGTCCCTTTTCACATTGCAGCTAGGGCATATTTAATTGGATGAATCTACTTTGAGATGTTTTCACATGTATTAAAGCTTCATGTTGTTAAAAAGAATATCATTCACAAGTGCGCACACATTTTGTTTCTGCTTTTTAGTTTATTTATTTGGATATTTCAAGCACAGGGGCTCTGCTTAGGTGGCTCTTTTTACACTGTTGATGGAAGGAGATAAATATGATTTATAAATTAAATGTCAGATTTATAAAAACAGATAAATATTAAAATATATGGCATTTATCAGTAAAAATGGCCAAGGAGTATTACTTGTTCTTGGATGAGCTTAATAAGATGTATTTTATGTAATTTTAAGGAAAAAATATGTGTTTAAAATCTTGCACTGTCCAATTTATTTGCATGATTTGAGAACTGAAAAATATGTATAATTTAGAAGAAGGAAAAAGATGCAGTGGCAGTGATTTATCTACACAAAAAGTTTGCTGTATTTTGAACAGCACATAGTGGTAAAAGAATAGGTTGATGGGGATTAAATTTTGAAAGAGATCAAATTTTCACCTTTAAATTTGCAAAATAGTGTCTATATTTGTGCGTGTGCACTGATGAAGTTTTCACTAAATTCTGCATGAAGAATGACGATAGCTTACAATATGGAAATAAAAAGCTTCCATTTTATGACGTCGGGTGTATTTGAATTTTCAGTGGTGATCTAGCCAATGTATCTATGTGTGATGGTGGCATTTGTTTTAAAACCTGTTTCCCTGAGGAAATAGAAGAGGAATATATGATAAAGGTACTCGACTTTCCGTATTAGGTTGAAAAGATATGCATTCCTAGAATTATTTATTAGTCTTACACCTGTAATCAAATTGACGAATTGTAGAAAAAAATTAATGAAAAATAAAAATAAATAAATAAATAAAATGATAAATAAATAAAAAAGTAAAATTTAATATATTTGTCATTATGTGATTAAAATAATTTCACTGAATGTGGAGCACCTTTTAAAATTTTTTCCAGGAAAAATAGGAATGAAAATGCTTTTTAAAAATTTATTTTATGCAAATAAGGGTATCTGATATTATGCTATATGATATTATCACATACCATTTTGGTATCACAAGTTTTTTAACTTATTTGTAAAATGATAAATGTAAAAACATGTAAGTTTATAACGTTTTTTTTTCTTTCAGGTAGAACAGATCAATGCTCCTCTTTTATTGTTTTTTGGAGCAGATGAGCCATCATTTGATGCTCCCCAGAGTGCAAAAATGATTTCAGAACGGTTACATTCTTGTGGACACAAAGACTATGAGATCCATGTATATGATGGGGCAGGACATCTTATTGAACCTCCCTATGCACCTCATTGTAAAACATCTTACCACAAGGTCCTAGGTATGTCAGTATCATGTTTGAAGCAGATTGCTTTGGTTGTCCTGCATTACCCTCTGCACTAAGTTAGGATAACATGGTAGAGACAGCAATCAAGCATTTTCTTTCAGGAGTGAGAATTGTACTAGTATTACTTAAAATCTGATTTGAAGTACTTTGTTTTTTAGAAAACCTGAAATATAAGTTTTCAGTTGTATATTTATATTTGTTCGTATATTTATATTGTTCCAATTACGATACATACATTTTCAGTTATGAATGACTTCTTTGCTACATAATATTTATCTTTGGGAGAAAGTAGAATTTATTTGAAAGAGAATTTGAAATTGGTTTTATTTTTGCTAGAGAAAAGGTTAATTAAAGTTTTTAATAAACTGTATGTTTCGTAAATTGGCATTACACTGTTTGCTAGTATTAGAGCTTACTCTGATATACATTTTTTTATTCAGTTAGTCATTACTTTTCTGTTTGTTCCAGGCACTATAATAGCATGGGGAGGAGATGCACAGGCACATATAAAAGCTGAGGTACATCACTGGAAGAGAACACTGGAATTCTTCAGAAAACATTTGTCTGCACCTGTGCCCTCTAAATTATGACACGCAACTTTATGTACCTGCCAACTGTTATCTGTGCTATATTCAATTTGATGCTGAATTCAGTCAGTAGATGATATTTTTTATTAACAAAAAATTCAAAATTGTGGCTGATTTTAAAATATATGCATCAGAGGCTATTTTTGTATAAAATAAAAGTGAGAAGTGTCAACGCTTACATGAAGTGCAAATATGAATTTTAAAAGTAACTGTGGGTTAGCTGTGCCCATATTTTTTATGTATCGTCTAATAGATTTATGTCAAAGATATGAAAGTCTGCTTTTATTGTGATTGTTATACTTTGAAATATCAGAAAGAAAACATTCCTGCGAGCCACTGTATAAAAATGTGCAATGTCATTACTTGCATTATTATTATAATGTTATAAAATACATTTGCAAAATTCACTGCATTTCTGTAGGGTAAAGACATCTTGTAGGTATATACATGTAACCTTATATCTAAATTCAGAAGCATAAGTAAATGTAAGTTGTGCAAAGAATATTATCTTCATATCATGTTAATGCCATTGTTATAATCTTTGCATGGGATACAGTCTGTGGGACAGGGAATGAGGAATGAAGCAACATTGTGCTTGATGTGCTTGGATGAGACGTCTAGCTTAAGTTGGTAGTAAATTCAAAACGTACATCATGTCCATGCTGTATATCAGCTTCCTCTCCTTTCTTCAACCACTTCATCTAATTCATTAGTGAGGCAATTGTTTTGTTTCCATGAAACTTCTGTTTTAGGTGAATTGCAATCCATGCTGTAAATGAAGACTAACTGTATTACATCAGATTATGTTGCTTTTTCTGTTCCAATTTCTGCTGCTGACAAAGTTATTACATGCAGGCACTTAGTGCTACATACATTCTGATTACTGTGCCTGTAATTGAGCCAGATTTGGTGCCTAATATTTGGTTGTTTTTGGTCATGCACCGGATGGCCTTGTGGTTAGAGTGTCGGCCTCTGGAGCAGGAGGACGTTGGTTTGACCCCATCCTGGGACATACCAGTCCTTTATAAAGGGTACCTGCTGTCTCCCCGCATGGAACTCAGCACTTACGGGATGAAGTAGGGTCCTGGTCAGGCAGAGAACGTTTGAAAGCACTCAGCACCTCATACGACAGCGGAGCTGTATCCTTCACAGGGAGGCGAGATCGCTCACACAGATTGTAATGACCAGTCGTAAGGCGTAGCAGTTGCGCCGGCGTAAACCAGGCGCAAATCGCTACGCCCGAGTATAGCCAGTTGCACCAAACTAGAATAGTGTTTATGTCGGTCTTAACTTAGTCGTAAATTTACGCCTGCCAGCTAGGTGGTGTAAGTCGGTTGTAGCTCGTTTTCCACTATGGCTAGGCAAGTACAGAGAGAGTTTGATGACAATTATTGTAGTTAACGTAGAAAATGTGGGTTGTTATTTGTTAGTTTCTTACTCAAATCTTCCATCTGTATAGCTTGGTTTTTAAAAAACTAATTATATATATATATATATATATATATATATATATATATATATATATATATATATATATATAAGTGATTACTAAATACATTATATGTGTATGTTCTTATTACTAGGTCAAAATGGAATAATGTAGCTTATGAATTTCTCTGTCTCTCAAATGCTCCTTTTGTGTTTATTTATGTCATCATTCCATTATGACTGCAGCTGAGATCACCTCATTTGCCCAATTATACCATTCACGTATTTTTGGCCAGTGACGCAACGGAGCGTTACTCGGGCGTAGTTACGACAATCAGTTTTTGTCTTGGTGCAACGGGCGTAAGCAGGGAGAGTAAACCTGGCGCACGGACGCCAGGCATTGCGGTTTACGACAGTCGAGTAAATTTACGCCCTGTTGGTGCAACTTGGCCCAGGTGCCTATTTGTTACATGTATGTAATACACGTAATTGTGAAGTCTACAGAACATATATGGAATTTATACTTAAAATAAATATTTTTTTTTAAATTGTCTTTTCATCATTATCATTATAATTATTTGTGTGCATTAAATGGTTACATGATAGAGGGTAGGGAATACCCCGCTTTATCACCAATCAGCTCAAATACCAATTACCAAGAACTGAATCACGTTTCACGCTGAATATTGGGCTCAAATAATGCATCACACTAGAAAAATAAGGCCAATCAAGCGGAACGCAAAAGGTATTCCAAACCTTCATATTTATGAAATTGCAACCATTTCACAGCTTGTTTAATAATTAATAAATATAAAATGTACTGTACTTGAAACCATATTATGCCATTTTTTTTACCCCATGTTGATTTAAGTTTTCACTCTGGAAAACTTTACTTAGGATGTTTAGAATTGGAAATGACCTCAATAGTGACAATTTGCAAGCTCACAATTTTATTGTCAATTGAAGTTCAAAGACTACAGAAAAAAACATGCATTCCAATGAAGTTTTTTTCATGGCTAAAATCAAATATTTGACATACAAAAACCATACCAATTAAGTATCATTTTACATACAAGGTTTGTAGGCTTCAATTGGTCATATCATGCCTGAAACAAAGCATTGTTTTTCTCAAATTCTTGGATGACCTCTTCAATCCATAAATTTTAATTCTAATTCATACAACAAAGTTTTGTATTTTTTAATCTACTTGAGGAAAAACCTGGGCTATTGCTTAAGGCAAACTGCTATTACATGTATTTATCTCACATATAACTGCTATCCAAGACGGGTTGTGCTTTTAACCAATTAATGTTTTCAACTAAATTTAATTTGCTGCCATACAACCAATGATGACAAAAATGAAACCTGGAACATTTATGTACCAAAATATTTGATAACAAAATATATTATTGCCTAATAAATTTTTAAAAGTATATATATCTGAGTAAAATAGCAATCCATAAAAGCGAATGGTATAAACTGGTCTATCATGGTCTGTTGCACAGATGCATGTAAATCAAAAATAATCACCAGATTATTAAGTTCTGCATAGCCAGTGTTTGTTTTATCTGCACCTTAGCAATTATGAAGATCACTAACAGGTATGAGCAAAACTGAAATTAAACCTCACATGCTTTTGTGCAATAAATAAAATTCAACACAACAATTATAAGAGAAATGAAAAAATATCAAAAATAAGATTTTCTCTGTATCCAACCATCTGTCTGCAATTTAAAAAGCAATATATTAAATGCAGATCAAAGCCAGCATTCCATGCTGAAAAGCTGTTCCAAAACACACAAAAAATTCTTTAACATATTGCTTTTCCTGGAAATTGATCTTCGCTTCTGTATGTAAAGCATATAACAAGAAGCCTTTTCTTGAACCAGTCCTGTAATGCTTTCGATTTTTATGAAAGGCGGATTGGAAAGTGAACAAACAAAAACTTGTAAAAATCTCAAAACAAAGCAAGCAATTCAAATTAACATACCATGGGATGATTGAAAAGTTTTGAACCTGGCTCAGAATCTGGCTCCTGCCTACTCAATTCACTGACGTACTATGTCTGCAACCAAGTGCACAGTGTTTCAAAGCTTCACATTTAATCAAAAGAAATGATGCTTTCTCCAAATACAAAGGATGAAACACCATTACACTTTCTGGTTCAGCTTAAATCAAACTTTTCAATCACCCCTCCAATTATTCACCTAATGCCTAATGTGATCAACAAACATTCTTCTCTAAGTATCTAGCATATCATATTGTCCATGTGTGAGCTTCAGGGAAACCTGATGTATATCTAATCCAGTGCTGACATGTACTGATCCTCTGGCACATCAAAGTAAGATTCCAGGATTCCTTCGCGGCGGACATCACAGGTCCAGCAGTGGAAACCCCCGCCCAGGGAGTTGGCATGGCGAATAGACACTGGAACGCACTCGATGCCCAGCTTCTCAAACATCTTCTGAGTTGTGGTCTCGTGTTTTTCAACCAAAACACGTTTTGGGTCCAGCATCAGGACATTCATGGACAGCCACTTGGAAGACATCCACAGAGGATGATCTGGAATAATCAATATTATTATACTGTACCTACTGGGTTTTTACCTGGTTACAGCAAGGGTCTTTGTGTTTGGTCTTGAAAGGTACGTGTAGGGCAATGTTACCCACTAACCAACTTATAAAGGAGCCCAAATTTTTTGGGGAAAAGTATGCACAGTGTGTCTACACATATGCCTACAGATGCCCTTGCCATGTTCTTTGACTACCTATATCTGTTCTCTGCTTATGAAAGTTGTACAGTTATTTCCATGAAATTCTAATTAAACATCTTTTTTCTGCTTTATTTCATACAAGATGCAAACGTGGCATGACAAAGAGACCCCTTGATAGAGTCTGGTTCCCATTAAATTGCACATGTAAACCTTGCCCCAGTTTTCAGACCATTTCCATCAGGCTAACCCTAAACCAGGGGCGGATCCAGAGATATTTTCTGACAGGCTTCCAAATTATCTTTATTGATCCCTCCTCCATTTTGACTGTCTTCCGACAGAAAAGATAAGATACCCATCAATGTAAACTTGAAAATCTGACCGTCTTCCGGAAGACCCAGAAGACGGCCTAAATCCGCCCCAGCTAAACTGCATAATTAAATTGAGGGTGGACAGTCTGTTACACGAGTCCTCGGTTTCATCACACATACAAATTGCATATAGTTCAATTTTTGCTTGTAATGTACACCCTTAATTGGTACAGGTTGATTGTGACTAGGCGTAATGATTCTACTATTAAAGAAATGAAAGGAATATCTGTCTTCAGTAAGTGTCTGGCCAGTCTAGCAAGTTTCCATAAGAAAATGGAAGTATAAAGACAACAAAAATCCAGAGATGGTCCTTTGACTTTATATATCTTTACAGCTGGGTAAGTAATACTGCATTTTTTATTTTAAACAAAATAATGCACCAGTAATGCACCAGTAATTTTAAAATAACAATGATGAAAAGTATTACAAAGGAAATAGATATAATTAAAATTTGAAATATAATTGGTATAATACTGCCATCAATCTCACATGCACACCAATTAAAAAACTAAATAGTTCATTCCAATTCAATTACCATATAGGATTTCAGTTAGATATTTCAAAATTAAAATTTTACTTTTATATTGAAAAAAATTATAGAAACAGAAACAATGTCAATTTTTCAACACTGAAAAAAAAAGAAGAATTTTCCATTTCTAATTACCGTCAGGTATAAGAGGAGTGGGTGGCTTGACCACTGTCCATCCTGCCTTGTGGAACATCTCAATTTGGTTACATGGGCGGTCAGGGTTGGACAACACAAGACCTGGTCCTATGATGTTGAAGGTGGCATCAATATGCATGGGGTTAGGGTCTTTGAAGCTCACCACATGTACACGAATACCTCTGGGAGCAAGGTGACGGCGCATCCACTCAATACCCATGTAGTTAGTAACCTGAATGCAAGGAGAAAATATAATGAACTCTTTCTGTAAAATATTATGTAACTGAAACAGAACACAAATTATTTACATGGTAGAATAATATATAAATGAAGTTTTATAAAATATATACATAAAATACACAAAACCAAGAAACTTTTAGGTTTAAGTGCATATTTTTCTGCTATCAACAAATTTTAACCAAATTCACTGCATGACAAGTAAGCAGTTTTGTCAATTTATAAGAACACACATTCAGCCTTAAGATGTTCTTTATTCCTGCACCACTAGTGCTGATGTAAGCAACTGACAACTACTGACAAATAGTAAACTAATATGATACTGCATTACATGACCCGGTGTCTTTGGCACGAAACTTAAGAAAGGTAAAAAAATACTTTCATTATTGCCTGTTGTTCAGTGGGGACAAGGTAGGGGTTGAGTCTGTTGCTGTTGTTGTTTGTGTGAATAGTCAATGTGGGCTTGAGAGAGACATGATCATGAGCTGCATACGTGAGTGAAGCTGCAGTTTCTCATGTTACAGCCCATTAATTCTTCCATTGAATTTCAAAACACTGGGCGTCCTAAAGAAGGGCCAACCTTGCCCCGTCTTTGCTTTGGGTGCTGCAGTGGTTGACTGTGTTTTAAGAGTTGTAAGCAGTAGTTGCAGTAAGAAAGGATTGTCAGAGCCCCACTGAAACCTTGCATAGTCTGTGCCTTTCTATACTTTTTATCATAATATATATTTATGTTCATCTAACAATAATAGCAAATGACGATGTTAAAAAAAAGGGGGGGGGGGGATGCAGAATGTGTCACCAGTAACAGTACATGTTCAACCACCGAAGTAAAGTTAGTCTCCATTAAGACACACATTTAAATTCCCAAAATAAATATAAAATTCATGGAATGCATCTCCATGCATGAATGTGAATTACACACACTAAATGTTTTTCTTTTTCCTGAATTTCATCTATATATTCTATATATTTTTACGAAACCAAAAGAGCTTAATTCTTCAGAGTTTATTTAGTAAGTACACTCCAATATTTATGTGTTTTCAGTCCACTGTCCTGGTGTTGTACCTAGGAAAAACATATTTTTATATGTTAAATTAATTAATCAAAATAACATTCTGAAGAAAAAAAACAAGTAATCGCTGAGGTAATCACTGATGAAATATAAATTACTTACCTGGCTTCTCTGGGCAAAAATATCTCGCCCAGCTCGCATGAAGTCTGCTGCATCAAAGCAAGGCTCGTGCTCTGTTGTCACAAACTTCCCCTGTGCAGCAAGCTTGTGACGCTCCTCAACACAGGACATAGGGTAGTTCTATTAATAAAATATTATATGGTACTGTATATTAATCTACTATCCCCAGGTGGATCTAAAATATCAATGTGGACAAGGGAGGTTGGGTAACCCAATAGTTGCCAAAACAAATTAATTATATTGAAATATTAAATATCAGGGGTGGATCCATTATATGCAATCATTTTTTCTGTTATCTAGGTTTCCAAATCCCACCTCAGTTATATACATGCAACCATCATTTATCATCATCATCATTTTAATACTACTGAAAATTATTAAGAAAAGTAGTTGAAATTCAAAAAGAGAAATTTATTAGAAAAAAATGTATGTAGTTTTGAAATATATTATCAAAGGGTATTATATGAAAACCTTTTACTAAATCAGCATACTCCAAACAAGAAAGATCCAAGATGGAGGCAAATGTATAGTTATTGAGTATAGCATGGCACAAGTTGTCTCATCTGCCATTATTTTGAAAAACCCCACCGTCTTCACCCTTTTTTCTATACGTATAATTTTTCAACAACAGACTTAGGGGCTTTCAGAATGAGTTAAATAGACCATATCACTAGCCGCCTTATCATTATAAGATCTGGCAGAACACTCACAATTAAAATATCATTTACTGACGCTATTGTTATCTAGGCAGCGTGGTGTTGTGTAACAGCCTAACTGCAACTCCTTCAGTCTAGTTTTAAATGTATTAAAAAATATATTATCAGTTGTTTGGAAGACAGCAAGGAACTTTATAATCTTACAAGACAGATTTTGGATGACTCGGGTGTCAATAGCATACAGTAACAGGATAGAGATAAGACTTCTAATGTGATAACTCAGACTCATAATAAAAACTGCCAACATACTCGACAAAAAATTCTCATCGTCGCAAACGGTGTGGACCCAAGCCTGAATATCATTTCTGTGATCCTGTTTTTATTTTTCTTTCCTCTTTTGAGAAGGGAAAGGGAGATGCTTTTGTCTTTTTTTTTTCTGGAAAGACTTTATACAACCTATCTATTACATAGACTGTACCTGATGATTATAAATGTAGTATTTCCCAGTAGACATCCTTGAAATTTAACAGAAATGCAGAAAACTTTGGAGTCCAAAGGAAGAAAAACAAGAAAAAACATGTATGTAAACAAAGGAAGAAAAAAATATATAAAAATATATACGCACGTTTAAATCTTGCATGTGTGTGCGTGCATGCCTGCGTGCGTGCGTGAGCATATCATGGATATCCACATAAGCATATCATGGATATCCACATAATTTTATGATGAAAAACTCTTTTCTACCTGATCATATAAAGCATCACTCATGGTCGGCTTTGGCGCAGTGGTCCAACGGGCACCTTTGCGGAAGTACTCTTTAATGAGACTACGGTATGCACGATACTCAAAGAAACGAGACCTCCATGCCATGGGAGCTTCAATAATTTCATCTCCAATCACGGTAAGGATGTCTCGAGGCATGGCAGAATACAGACCTGTAAAATGAATCCCAACATGAATTTCACAAAGTTTCAGCTTTTAAAATTAAAAACAGGTGAGTGGCTGTGTCTGTGAACAAATATCCTCACTGCTAATTGCATGATATTTACCTTTTTTTTTTTTTGGTAAAAAGACATTCCCAACTCTACAAAAGTTTCCCTTGATTTTTTGTGTCAAGGCCAGGGTTTGTGTCTGGGTTGCAGCCTTGAATATCGTATTCTTTTTTATCATTTTCTTTAAACTGAATACTGAAAATAAAATATGTGATGGCACAATTCAATATAACTTTCATACCTGGAGATTCAAAATCTGGTGTCTTGTAAATCTGACTGAAATCCACATGGTCTGGGCGTCTCACATGGACCCCCTCGTGCTTCAGAATATTGCAGAACTCCTCAATCTCTTCTGCAGCTTTTTGCATGTGCTCTGCGGGAAACCCTTTCCCTCCATGGGCCGTGAAAAATTCCCAGTGCTTCTCATAGGTGTTAGCCTATAATTGCATTACATCACTCTAATGGTTTTGATGACTAAGTATATTAATCATTGCTAAGGTAAATATGTGAAATATCAAATCATTTTTGCATACTGTGCTCACAATTCATTTGATTAGATTAATTATCATTTCATGAATATATATATATCATACTTTTTTAAAAATCCACACATGACATATATACCCTCTACGGGGCATACACAGTGTAGGCATGCATGGCCTCTACTACCAACATTACTGTCCTGGCCTTTAATAGCCCCACTCTGCAAAACTTTCCTTTTCTTTCTCACAGTATTAATTTATGTATAAGCTTTTTCACACCCAACTGGCTACGCAGTGCAGCGGCTAGTGGGGTGACCTGCACTCACTGAAGTGAAATGTGGACAAAGACACGTAGGCCTAACTATTTTAAGGATACTGGTAAGGTTTATTATCATCAAAATACCAAAAGTGAGGTTTTTTATACATCTAATTATTCAATAATGCACCTGCTATTTTGATGATTAAAAATAATAAAAAATACTCTCGAAAATATAATACATTTCTTGTTTTTAAGCATAAGCATTATCAACTTGTGTTTTAATCATCAATTTAACAGCTTTTTATTTTGAGGTGAGATAGCAATCGGCCACTGGTGGTATGGGGCATAACTTCATCCCCCGTGAACAGCCCAACCCCCAGGCACACTAAAACCCCTAAGTACACATGCGCGTCCCTTATATCCCCCAATCTCCAAGGTTTCAAATTCCTCACTCTAATTCTCTAGGATAAAATTTATCACAAGCGCACAAACAAGCAATGGACTTGGTCAATGGTGTGGTCCTAATGAAACAATCGAGTATCAGGACAATCCCCCTTCCCTACGATTCCCCCCCCCTCCGCCCCAAGGAATATATACATTTATAAACAAATATAATGTAAAGAGTATAAAGTTCAAATCTTTTCTAATCCATTTTATGAATATTTCTAAGTGTGATGATGCAACTTGAAGAGGATATTAATATCATTATACAGATTATATTCATGGAGTACAAGTACAGAAAATTTTAGAAATAAAAGTGCAAAAAAATTTGTGAAAAATCTTATCAAAGTAAAGGCCAGGAAAACAGATGATTTGATCCAAGTCATTCTTTGATAAATTACTGTTACTTTTAATTGCTTCATCACTCCTCCCTTGATCAAGTTGCCTGCCTTCAATCATAGTGCATCTCTAGGGAAAGGTGGGGTAAGCAGATTTTCTTACTTATCCAAGTATCCCTTTGATTATCTGACACTTTTAACCCTCAATCACCTTTCAGGGGCCTCGCAGGCCCGGACCCATGTATCTTTTGCTCTCTCTTCATTAGCATGAGGTTTTGAGCCTGTTCCTTTCATGTAATCCTCAAGCAACTTATACCCCATCAGTGGATAAATAATTAGTTTTGAAATAATTTACAACATATGTAGAAATTAACTTTTCCAAAAGTTAGTCCCATTTCCTGGAAACCGGGCCTCTGAGGCCCGGTCGCTTGATAATTTTACTTCCACATGGGATAAATAAGTCCATGTTACCTCAAATAGCTTTGCTATAAAATGTTTTACACAAGCAATATCATGTGTGCTATGACTATCAGTATGGTCAATGAAATCTGCCTGTGAAAGATTCAAGACCTGGAGAAATTATTATTTATGAGTAATCGGTCACCTTGCATGGTCACCTGATATGCAGATATCAGTTTAAATCTATCATTATTACATACCTGATAGACTGTGCTACCTTTGCGAAACTTTCCATTTTGAGAAAAAAAA